GGATACAGGTTGACGAGGGTCACAGTGTCAGCACAGGACAGCTCTAAGAAAGCAGAGGATGGGGATTTTCTGTGTCACTAACGGTGGTGCTCTGTGTCCTGAGAGGCCTGTGCAGGCTGCTGCTGAGAATAGGGCGGGGTGGGGGGGAGGGTGCTTCCTGAGTAGAGCCCCTCGTCAACCTCTAAGTGGCACTCGTGGTTCCTTGACATTGCATTTGTGCATCATGCTTTCCAGGCGTCCTCACACCTCTCGTCCTAACAGGTGCTGCACAGCCGAGGCATCCTGACCAGAGCCACTTCAAGGAAGAGTGAGGACCACACTGAAGGTCTCTGGGCATCATTTCCTGTGCTCTTTCTTCTGTATTTTGTACTACATGGCCACAAATATTGTCTTTCTGTAGGGAAGGGAGGCAGAGACCTTGGGTACCATGGGTGGCTGTAACTGTCTCTGAAAGAAGAGGCTGGCCACATCACCCATGGCCCCCAGGCTGCATTCAGTTACTCAAAGGATAACCATGGACCAGAATCCCACAACTGCAGAGGGTAAGAGATGCAGGCCTCCAGCTTCATCCCAGGTCTGTGAGGTTACATAGCTCTAATTTACTGGGCTCTCTCTTTACAAATATTGCTATTCCGACATGAGACCTGTATGGTCAGAGCGGGCCCTACTGGGGGAACGTCCATCAAAGTGTGTGAGCACACACAGATGAAGGGACTTTCATTTCCTCTGAGCTCAGAGGCAGACTTTCTGTTCACTGAACATCACAAAGGCCACCTTAATGCTCGTGGGGGCAAGATTTCAGTCCCATGAGGAAGGCATTAACCCTCCAGGAGTCCCACAGCCCCCAAGAACGCTGTGTCTGTAGCCTCTGTCCTATACAAGAGGCCACCTTCAACCCTAAATTCTTCTGAGGACACTGTCCCATGGTTAGGGGCTGTTGCCTGGGGCTCCGTCGATACACTGATGGAGCTCTGTGCATGCCCACTTTATTGAAGACTCAACTCCTCTGCTCAGAAGGCTTGTGCTCAGGAAGATGCTGTCTAGGTGTGCCAGGAAGGCATCTAGCAGACACGAATACATACACACACACACACACACACACACACACACACACACACACACTACAGGAAGGCAGTATCTTAGGGCACAAGGTATTTTCTGAACCTCACATGAATTCATCTGAGCCCCGAGAATGACAAATGAAATCCGGTATTTTTCCTCCAACTCACTCAGAACTGATACGAGATACTCAGGTATCAGGAGCAGCTGCTGATTACTCTTGATTGAAATGGGATTGCAGAGCGGGCTTCTGCTGCTGGGAGAGGAGGATACTGAGGGTTCAGAATCATCCTTGGAGGAGGAAGGTTTGTCCAGGGCCCTGAGTCACAGGCTTCTCTCTGTTGGCTGCCTCTTGACGGAGCCCAGCTCACTGTAGCAAGTCCTCAAAGCTGAGAGAACTTTTCCGGGTGTAGTCAGGACCATATCAGCCTGGGCTTATGCCATTTGAGGCCCAGATGCATTCCCAGCAAATATATTGGGGCTCGCTAGCTGATCTGGGAAAATTAAGTGACTTGTGGGCCTTGAGAGAGGAGATTCTGATGTAACAAAACTAAAATTCAGCCCTGAGATCTGAACTCTGAAAAGGGACCTCAGAGGCTTCTAGAAATCATTTGGGGCCTGAAACCACTCCTTTACAGGATGTTTTTTTGACTGAGGTACTGTTCACATTTTCTGAAGTATTTCTTTATTAAATATTAATTAAATTAATAAATGTTAAGCAGGCGATTTTCCTTCCTGGACATTGCGGTCATCAGGGGGAGCTCTTTTTAAATAACTTGCTGACCCCTGAAGATGAGATCCTCAGTTAGCCTTGACCGTACAAAAACAAAAGGTAATTTTTGCTACCTATGTGGTCTTAAACCCAGCAGGCAAGCACAGTCAAGACTGAAACAATCACTGCGTTTCTTTCAGTTCCAGGACAGGCTTGCAGTCCTCAGAGGTGAATCTTACCCATATGAAACGTTATTTGGACAATTATTTCTCAGTGATTCTCTTCCTGGTATCTATAGGACGAGGCCTGGCTCACACAAGCACTACAGTATCTGACCACGGCTGAGACACAGATTCGAGGAGACTGCCAGATACTGGGTCATTGAACTCACGGGTTTGGGGAATTATTTAGAATATCTAAGTGGTGTTCTTAGAACTGTGCTAGACAGTCCTATAAAAATGACTCAATAGGAGCCGGACAGTTGGTGGCACGTGTCTTTAATCCCAGCACTTTGGAGGCAGAGGCAGTCAGATCTCTGTGAGTTCAAGACCAGCCTGGTCTACAGAGTTCCAGGTCAGCCAGGACTACACAGAAAAATCTTGTCTCAAAAAAAAAAAAAAAATGTTCCTTATAATAGCCATCTGGCAAGCAAAGTTTATGGGCTGGAAATATGGCTGGGTGGTTAAGAGCACTGGCTTCTCTTCCAGAGGTCCTGAGTTCAATTCCCAGAAACCATGTTGTGGCTCACAACCATCTATAGTGAGATCTGATGCCCTCTTCTGTCATGTAGCCATCCATGCAAATAGAGTTAAGCACTCATATACAATAAATAAATCTTAAAAAAAAAAAAAAAAAAACAGCACCATGTATTCTTCACTTCCTCAAAGAGACTACAGCCCTTCAGTTGTCCTGATTAAAGGAATATTCTGCTTCTTGGTTGGGGCAGAGATAAAACTGTTAGGTGGGCCTGTTCCTGGCAGTTAAAGCAGAGGTAGTGAGGCAGGGGGCAGCTTCCCCTTTAATGCTCTTAAGAGCTCCTCAGTTGACTCTTGCGTGCAGAGCGAGACCCTTTAGGTTAAACTCTGAGAGAACAGATAGACTTTAACCCTGAGCTTCGTCTCAAGGCCGTACTGGGTGACTGTGTTTTGCTTCTTTCTCATAGGGCTAAATTGTTATCCACTGTGGTTCCCACAGTGTGAATCACACCAGCTCTGTATCATTCTCCGATTGGAACACTAGAGCTTCGTTAAGTGGTTGAAGACAGTCCTAGCTTTCTAGTTCCCCCTTTCCTTGAGACAGTGACACCAATCTGCTGGTTCAAGAGACTTCACAGAGAGGAGAGAGAGAGGGAGAGAGAGATAAATGCGTGAGCATGAATATGTATATATGTGTGTGCATGTGTGTGTGTGTGTATTCAAGTGTACAAATGTGCGGAGGGCAAAGGTCAACTTTAGGTTTTCTCTTCATTTACTTTCCACCTTAGCTCTCTTGAGACAGATTCACTGAAACAAATTCAACCATCTGTCTAGGCTGGGAGGCCAGAAAGCTCCCAGGTCCGCTCATCTTGTGTCTACAGCTGGGGTTAGATACATGCCACTGTGCCTGGCTTCTACGTGGCTGCTGGAGATCTGAACTCACATCCTCATTTTACCCACAAAGCCTTCGCCCCAGAGATCCATGTTTCCTTAGTAACAAGAGGGGTGCCGCCTTCTTCGACAGGCAGAAAACCTGTACAGGACAGGTGGGAGGTCTTGAGCTAGCCTCATTTAAAAAGACCTTGTCCTCTTGGCTCTCAGCTTCTCTTTTCTGTTACACCACAGTGAACTTTGACCCCAAGTGCAAAGGGTGAGGTAGGCAGAAATGTCAGTTGGTCATGCTGCTTAAACCACAATACAGAGCCAAAACTCAGTCTACCCTGTGGGCACGCCCAGGAGATTGAGCCAGGCAAGGGCTATGGCAGGATCCCTATACTTGGCCAAAGCATCTTAGGGTAACGAAAAAAGCTCACAATTGTCAAGTGCTTTCCACAAACCAGGTGGAGCTTCATATGTTCTAAAATCTGGCTGTTTCATCGTGGCAGAATCTCAAACTGTAACCGAGGCTAGCCTAGAACTGTCAATCTAGTCTCCTGCCTCAGCTTCCTAAGTGCTGAGGTTACAGGCCTAACCATACCATTTTCCAAGTATCTCTTGACTTACTCTTTTCTCATCAAAGCCACTGAGACTTTCACAGGTGTACCCACTGAGGTTTTGAAAGATAAACTGCCTTTTCTGGGGACAGACACCCTGTCAGGGGCCTTCTGCCTCCAATGTCAAATACTGTTGTCACATCCAAGTGCTGTGGTGGGAAGGGCCCCAAAAAGCCTGGCAAGGTGGTGTGCATTGGTGAGGGAAACCATTGAGCCTGCTAAGCCATCTGATGGGACTACAGTGTGGGAGGCTGCGGTTGAGGGAGGAGACCATCTCTGCTCTAGGATGCCTTAAAAAGCTGTCTGAGTGCCTACCTATATGTGTGTGTGCCCCGTGTGTGATCCTAGTGCCTTCAAGGGCCAGAAGGTACTAGATCCCCTGGAACTGGGGTTGCATCTAACCAGAAGCCAAGATGTGAGCTCTGAGAACCAAACCCAGGTCCTCTGCAAGAACAACCATATGCTCATAAACCCTGAGCCATCTCTCCCAGGATGACTGACTTTTGAGAAGCTCCTGGTTCGTAAAATGGAGTGATCATTCCAGCCTGAGGGAGGTGACATGATGCCTCATGCCACCTCTGAAGTGCTTCCCGCTAGGAGTCTGCATGCTGCTGAATGCCACTGCAGGGGAGAGCATGGAGCAGTCGCTCAGACTTGGTGCTCCATCAGGTTCAGGACCCTGGCATGGCCTCCTTGGGCTGTGCTGTCTGAGGGGTGCCGAGGCTAGACCCCCCCAACTCATGCAGCTGCATCTAACCAGCACATACTCCGGTGTTTACAGATCACAGTTGTGGAAGGACAGCGGCCACGGGGCATCATGAGGACCAACAGCCACTGGCTGAGTGAATCATGATCATCTTCACAGCACTGAGATGGCTTTCACAAAAATGTGTCCCCAGGGTGCCCACCACACAAGCCCGGCCTACTGAACGGGACTGTTTTAACACAGGGAAGGCACTTAGGGGAAAGGATGCCTGCAATGCACAGGCAGCACCCACAAACAGGCGGACTCTGGATCAGGAACTCACACAGCCAAGGCAATAAGGTCAAGAACTTCTTCACTTTTATTAAGTTAGAAAACTAATAAAAGCAACGCCCATGCCCAGGCAAGCACCATGGCTAGGTCCTCTGTGCTGTGCGGAGTGATGGGTCCTGATAACGTGGTGCACAGGCCAAGAGCCTGCAGTTCTCCAGAAGGACTGACCAGGAGGTGGAATGAAAAACAAGCTGGACCTCAGATAAGGGCCAGTCTGTGACTAAGTCACGCACAGCACCAGTACCAGGCTGAGCCTCGAGGACCTTGACGGCTGACCAAACTGGTCTAGACTGTGGCTCCACGTTTGTCAACAACAGAACCGACTTTGGACGTTCCATCCAGATGCAGCAATGGCCTGGGAAGCCACCAGCTATGGTACCCTGCTGTGCCAGAAACCGAGAGCGCCTGTCCCGCCAACATCAGGCTAGACAAGCAAGGGGTGAGTCTAGCATCCAGAATGGCATCAGAAGGCGCCTCTGCACCCAGTGCAGGGAACTGGTGTGGAATCCTTGAGAAACACATTTGGGAAGTTTCTTCGGATCCTTCTTTCTGAGCTCAAGAATCAGACAGGCAGGATTCAGGCTGCCAGCTGGTGCCAAGGAGGATAGCAAGTGTGACAAGAGCCTTGGCACTAGACCACACATGATAGAAATCTAATCTCTGTGGGAATTGTAGTGGCCACGGGGTCATGACTGTTCTCTTCTTAGGAGACAGGACACAGAACTGGGGCAAGGGGGTCTCCTGAGGAGCCCTGCTGCTCTTCTGTGGCTCCAGGGAGAATAGGCAACAGACCCCAACCAGCTCCCTGGGGTCTAGAGTCCTGCTGAGGGACCCCCAGCAGTGTCTGACCGGTCATGAGCATCTGTCCTATGTTCATGGTAGCTTCCCAAAATCACCCCTTAGGGGGATGGGGTAGTTCTTGGCAGAGGGCACGCAGGCAGTCTCCCCTTGGCCTTAGGTGTCTGGTGCTATCTGCTGGTGGAGCCTGTGGATACCCCCTGAGGCTGGGTTGCCCTGGGGTTTCTGTCTCTTATAAAACGTCTTCAGTTGAACTCGGCTCCCTGATGTCCAGGACAGTATGGAGCAACATTCCCACCTTCCGCAGGAAGCCCTGCAGTCAAAGGCTGTGCTGCTGGTATCAAGGGACCCCTGCTGTTCCCCTGCCAGCCCTTGCCAGGCCTGGCTGGCAGAGGTGACCTCAAGGCTTTGCGTGAATGTCATATCCCTAGCCAGGGCTGCTGGTGACGGCCCACGCCTCTGGAAGCTTCTCTCCACACAAGCCGCTGGCAGCTCAGGAAGCGGAGCACAGGTGACGCTGGAGAACTTCACTTTCCTGCCTAGTGTTAAGAACAGCTTGAGCGGCTGCCACCCGGAGCTGGTGCTGTCAGTTTCTAGCCGAGTCAGGAAGAACCACGCAGCCTGTGGATGAAGCAGAGGGAGAAGAGGAATGGCCACTGCTCTGTCCTAGCCTGGCCACATTCAATAGGCTCCCAGGGCTCAGGCTCAGGCCTCGACATGCTGCCCACGTGACCCTCAACAGTTCAGGAACTAGAGTCACCATCTGTCATTGTGTTCCCTCCAAGACCCAGGAGCAAATGCAGCTATGGTCCCTAGGCATCATCTTCCCTGGAGAAGCGGCAAACAATTATATGATGGTTACACCGGGAACAACCTAAAGACAAAAAGAAACTACTAACACTGAGATACGAGCCGGGTCCTTTATTTTATTTATGTGTGAATATTGGAAGAATTGATGAGAAGGCAGGAGTTGGCTGGAAGGGGAGATCAGAAGGAAGAAAATGGGAGAAAATATGATGCTGTAAGAATGTATACAATAGCGGACCAGTGAGACAGGCTCACAAGGCAGGCAAAGTCCGTCAGCTAGGAGGAAGGCAGGTGTGATGAAGGGCAGGTAACAGGCTGTGGACAAGAGACATGCTCTTTCTGTGGCCTGGACAAAAATTCACCACAGCTTCTAGATGCCAGGCCATGAGACAGGGTGTGGGGATGTAGTGGTGAACGAGGAGGGACTGTCCTTGTGGCCATGAAGCTCACACCCCCTGCTGTATCCATCCTCAGTCACTTGGAGCATCAACGGTTGCCCTGGAAATGAGTATGGTAGATATCTACCTGGCAAGGATCCAGGAGCAAGCCCCCCTTGCTGAAGGCTTCATGGAGAATGTTCCTGAAGCAAGAAGGAAACACTGATTTAATTACTGATGGTCACTGCTACAGATGAACCCCAGCGGCATCTCCACAAAATCCTAGGCCAGTCCTAGGCCAGCCCTAAAGAGGATGTGGCTCAGCATTTGGGTCTGGGAAGGGATGGTGGCCAGGCTGCAGCTCCTATGCTGATCAAGTTCGGACACCCTGTAGGACACAGCAGGGCTGGCAAGGCAGAGACAGGCATGGAAGGTGAAGAACCTAGGGCAGTGAGAGAGGAGGAGAGAAGCCACAGTCCTCTGTTCCCAGGCAGCCCAGTTGTCCATGTGGTTTCAGCGGAGGCCAGGGCTAGATGTACCCGAGCCACATGGTGGCTCTAACCTGTGAAGGCAGAATAGACTCGGCCCCTGTCTCTAACTGGCTAGCAGTGCTCGTGGGCACAGGCTCCATGCTGAGCTGTGTCCCCACGCAGGCACTGCAGGAAGCGAAACCATCACTAAGCTTGGCAGGAGCTTAGAGTTAGAACTATGCAACCTGCACACTGGTGTGAGCTGTACAGTTGTGAAACCCCCAATACAAGGCACTTTCCTTTAGTTCTGTGTGTTTGCAAAACCTTAGCGCAAAATCATATGCCAGTACTGAGGCTCCAATGGCGGAAGTTTTCCGTAACGGGAATATACCCCCAGCACTGCTGCAGCTCCTAGAGACAGGCTGGTGCTGATCCACAGGAACGCTGCCATCTCCAGAGGCCCTGGATGTCGCAGACACTGGCAGGGCAGGCAGGATACTGTTTTCCAGCAGGGTTCCTGAGGCCCCTAACAATCCTAACATGCTCTAGGCTAGCCAACATGAACTCCCAGTGTCACAGGCGCTGACCCACTTTACCCTGCCTCAATGTTACCACAAAGAAATGACCGGAGCCAGGACTTCGGGTTTCCACAAGCTTCAAAAGACAGGCCTAGCTGGCGGGAGAGCGCCACAGAGACGGGCCGTGTTCATGCCAGGGCCCACCCGGAACCCTGTATGCTTGTATGAGGAAAGGGTGGTGTGAGCCACCCTCCCTGGTTTCTGTGATGGCTCCAGAGGAGCGACTATCCTCTGGCCCACCCCAAGATCTTAGTCTTATGCCCCTAACTCTGTCAGTTTCTTCTCCGTAGCCTGCTCTTCTCCTCTGTGAAATACAGTCCTCCAGCTGAAAAATGGACTCAAGGTCAGTGTTTGTCTTCACCCCTGTGCGTGACGGGCCTTGGCAAAACTCATCCTGCAGATGACTGATAAAGTCTCTACCTATGCTGATGTCTTTTTTATTCTTAGGTCTCACATAGGCACAAGTGACCTCTGCATGAAGAACATCCCCAAGGCACTCTCCTGCCAGTTAGGACTGGCCATGAAAGCTGGAGAAAGCCCTAGGTCCCACTCTAAGTTTCTCTGTAGTAATGTTTAGGAGAAAGTGGGCCAGCTGTAGCAGCAGTGAGAGGTTGGCTGGGTGGGAAGCTAGGGAGGGAGCACACAGGAGATTAGGCCTTACTTACGCAGCTTCCAGGAGGCTTCAGAGGGAAAGGAGAGAAAAAGACATGACCAGAGTGGGGTTCCCATCAGGACCTGAAGTGGGTGCCTGGGATGGAGAAAGCAGGCATGGGGCAACAGGGAATCACAGGGGCACTGGGCAGGGGCTTCAGAGACTGCTGCTGGTGGCCTCTGGAACCGCCTTAAAGCCTAGAAGGATGGACAGAGTACATCTATAGAGGAAACCAGGCAAAGGTGGAGCTCCCAAGGCAACAGGGATAGTGGCACACGTTGCCAGGACCTTCCTATTGGTCACCTGGCAGAAGAGGCTGGATCAGCAGGGCCAGAGTTGTTGGAGGGGAACGGAGAACCAGGCCTGGGTGAGGTATCAGGCTGGGTATCCCCGAACGGCTGACTGGCTAATGCCATGCTCACTACAGGTGAATTTTCCTCCTGTCCCCTTGTAGGAATGCACAGAAAGACAGTAGGCATACTGTGTTTTGGCCCCTTCTGGCCTTGACTCTATTAAGGTGCTTGGCCCTCTCCTATACTGGGGTCCCTGCCTCCCATACCACAGGCCCTGGTCTGTAGCCGAGTTGCATCCACATGCCATGGGGGCTGAGGGGTACAGAAGGCTCCCAGGATTCAAGAAGTGACAGGCATGTCCTGCATATCAGCTTCTCGCCCTGCTGCTGTGTTGTGGGTCTCTTCTTTGACTTTGACCTGTGCGAACATGCTGACAAGAGGAGGATCGTGCAGAGTGGGAACACTTCAGGGTCAGTCTTGGAGACAGAGGTCAAGAGGTCCATCCAGATGGAGGAGAGCCTGCTCTGGTGTAGCCAGACAGCCGAGGCCAAGAAAGCGAAAGCTGATTCCAGGAGCAATCTTGAACTCTCTCGGAAGATGCTCAGCAGGCCTAAATCCATGAGGACACTCATCACCACCTTGGGAACATGTGCTGAGGATTGGGTGTGGCTTCCTACCTGAATCTGAGGCTGATTGGGTATGTGCAATTATACTCTCTGTGCCCACTTCCTCATCTAAAGCAGGCTAATGACTAAAGCTTGTCCAAGACTCAGGACATATTTAGTTGTCCTAGTCACAGGAGTAAAAACCGTCTGGGGATGGGCCAGGAACATAAAAGGACCTCACAGCTCATAGCATGAGAACTGTGCCCAGCAGTTTCCATTCCCTTTTCCCAGATGAGAATGCTGAGTCTCTGAATTAAGCCTGCCCAGGGTCAAGGCAACAGGGTGCCGTGTGAGCCTCACCTAAATGCAGAGCAGCTCCTGACAACAGGTTCAGACCAGCAGCCCCTCCCACAGGGCAGTGACAGGGTAGAGCCTCTGCTGGGATGGGTAAGGTACCTGCCCACTTCCTGAGGAAGAAGTGGACTCAGGCTCCAGAGGCAAATAGAGTCATGGACATGAGGAGCCTCTGCCCTACAGGCGATGCCATCCCACAGGTGACAAAGCACTCCTAAGTCACCAGTAGCAAGAATAGACAGTACTGGAATGCCATTATCCCTTTGAATTTTGCTCCTCTGGGAACGTAGACACTGCTCCTTTACTCGGAAGAAAGAAAACAAAGCAAGCCCAAAAGTCTTAAAGAGAACCAAGTCCTGTTTTGACTGCTTTTGGGAAGCAGCTGCTCCATGCTTAGACATCTGAGGCCTTCCAGGCCTCTTAAGAGCCTTGGAGGTGATAAACAAACAAACAAACAAACAAACAAACAGCCTTGGAGGCTCAGCAGAATCTGACATAGCCCAGCTCAGGAGCACTGTTTTCCTGTGCAGTCTGCCCGCTAAGGCTTAGGATGCTGGGTCCCTTTATGCCATAGGAGCACAAGGCAGCAAATAGTGAATGCAAGGGTCCTCTTACAAGGCCTTTTCTTCTTTCTTCAAGTAGACCCGCAACCCAACCCCACCTCGGCCCATGGGAGTCCATTCCCCATGCTTTACTCACTCTGCTGTCCTCTCCTGTCCCTAGGCTCTCTGCCACAGCAGACCTGTCTCTTAGAGTCTCTCTCATGCCTCTGCTACCCAAAGAACACCTGATGAGTCAGCTGCTTGGCTCTCCTCCAGCCAGGCTCATTTTCCTAAACACTCACAGTACTGAGACCAGCAGCGGGGCTCACAGACACCTGTTCTGTGGTTAGCCCTGCTCTGAGAATCAGAGTCACCACCTCCCCTCGTCAGAATGGCTGCCTGCTTTACAGAAGCCCTTCATCCCTATACCTCACGAGAGAGAGATAGTCTGCCTCCCACCGGTAAGCCCATAAGTGTGTCAGAAGAGGTAGGGTATGAACAGGTTGTCTGTCCCTAAATCCCCCCCTTATTCCAATGCTAATCGGACCCTCCTGGGAAAACATGGCAACCGCTACTTAGAATGGAGTCAAGCCAGAGGGTTCTCCCGCCCTCCTGAGGACCCACCTGGCTGGGCCATGCAGGTGCCCTTCATGCAGGCAGATGCTTCCAGGTGCTGACAAAAGCAGTGGGGATGAGGGAGTAGGGCACCGTGGTGATGCAGTTCCACGTGTCTGAGGTGGGGTCATAGCAGTCCAAGGTCTTACACCTCTGGGTCCCAAAGTAGCCTCCCACCACATATAGCTTGTTGCCGGAAGCCAGGGCATGACAGGACATGCGTTTGGCAGTCATATCCCCAATCCGAGTCCATTGGTTGGTGTCACAGTCAAAGCGATAGGCTGAAGCTGCTGTATACTCTGTATCACCTCCCATGATAAAGATCTGGCTGCCCAGGACAGCGGCAGCTGTGTATCGCCAAGGCTGGGGACACTCCGCCTTTATTGTCCACCGGTTCTCTGAGGGGTCAAAACACTGGACTTTGGACACCATGTCCCGGTGGATGCTGGTGCCCCCGAACACAAAGAGTTTCAGCTTGGCGCTCACCACCGCAGCATTGCTGACACCGTCTCTCATTGGGGCCATCATAGTCCACTTATTAGCCCCCGGGTCATATTTCTCGACTTGTTTCAGGGAGATGGAAGGGGAGGCGGGGAAAATGCCTGCTAGGGAGGTATGGCCCCCCACCACGTACAGACAGTTCTCCAGCTCAGCTGAGCCATGGCCAAAGCGAGCAATCAGCATAGGGGCCGCCTTAGACCATTCCTCGTGGACAGTGTCATAGACCCAGACATCCTTAGAGACCCCATTCTCAGAGCCCCTGCCTCCAGTCACATAGACCTTGCAGCCGATGGCCGAAGCGCTGAACTCCTTCCGGGGGCTTGGCAGGTCCGCCTTGGGGATAATCTCCTTGGCTTTGTGGTCCACTTGGTAGATCTTGTCACACATGAAGGTCTGGCCTCCCAGGATGAGCAGCGTGTGGCCCGCCTTGCGAGGCCGGGCAAAGGGGCTGGTGACCACACCATCGTTCAGCAAGATCTTGGTCTTGCATCGGAAGGCTTCATCTATGAGGAGCTTGCTGCGCTCGTCCTCCATGAAGAGGGCCTCCCCGGATACAACCTTCTTCAGGCAGTCTGAGGGCAGCAGGGCCAGACGCACATGGCGCAGGAGCAGCGGCAGATGGGCCTTCCTCTGATCCAGATCATGTTTCACCCACTGCAGGATGGCCTCAAAGACCACGCGTTCATCCTCAGTCTCCAGCTCGTCACTGGAGATGAGGTCCAAGAGCGTGTCCTTAGACAGACTGTTGAAGTCCTCGCTCTGCCGCACCGTCTCAAAGTGCACCAGGCACATTCGGCAGGAGAACTCGTAGAGCTGTCGGCACTGGTGGGCATCCGACAGCAGCATCATGCCCAGGCAGTTGGAGGGGGAGAGGTTCTTCTCCAGGAACTCAGCGGCCGCGTCCCTGACGTCATGGAACTGCAGCATGTCGCCCGCCTCCAGCAGCGACTCTGCGTTCTCCTCGTTGATGACAATGCGGGACGAGTAGGCAAAGTCCAGCAGCAGCTCCAGCACCTCAGGGTGCAGGTTGTCCTGGAAGTTGACCGAATCATCCCGGCTTTCCCGCAGGCCATGGCTGAACATGGCCTCAAAGTATCGGCTGGAGGCCGCCAACACTGCACGGTGGCATGGGAAGGCTCGGTCACCGGCCCAGAGCGTGACATCGGTGAACATACGGTGCTTGCGGAGGGTGTTGAGGTGGGCTAGCACACAGTCGGGGTGCGAGGCCTTGTGGAAGAGCGAGATGTTCATGGAGTCCGTGCTGCTCCGCGACTTGCGGGTCTCGTGAACGCTGACAGACATTGTGAACCCACCTGCAGGGGGAATGACACCCGTCAGAAAGGATCTCCTGCCCACAGGCCCACACTCAACTCCAAGGGCCCCACCTCCTCTTTGCCCTTTTCTGGACAGCTCTAGGGACCCAAGCCTTCCTGCCCGCATCTCCAAGCATGTTGAAGGCAAGAGGGCCCTGGGCCTTCCTCTGTCCTTCGAGACTAGCTTTGTTCTGCCTGGACACGCATCTTTGGTTGCAGTGGTACATAAGTACCCATTTTCCTCAACAATAAAGTACCAGTGAAAGCCGTGGCACTTGACAATGTTTCGAAATTACATGAGACTTGTTTGACATTTTGTCGTTTTTGAGACCATGCTGTCCTTGACTCAAGTCAGCTTGCCTCTGCTTCCCGGGAGCTGCAGTTAGGGGGGAGTAGCACTAACGCTCTCAGCAAACGTTCATGAAAAGGTTTTCTTTGCTTGAGACAGGGTGGCACACTCAGCATCTTCTGTGGTGGCTCCTGAAGGCTGAATCAAGCCTGAAGTGAATTCCCGAGAGTTAAAGATGGGATCTTCCTCTCAGCTTGATGGTTCTGAGCTCACACCTCTTGCCCTGCTTGCCCACACCTCCCCCACAGGAATAGGCTGACTCGGCTGTGGTCTAGCACGGAGACAGAAGCAGTGCCTGTTACAACCTGTTACAACTTGTACATACATTTCCTCTTCAGGTCATCAAGCTAACACTCAACCCCGAGCTCACAGGCAGGACACGCCTGCTTCGCACAGGTGGTCAGCCTGCTCCTGAGGTCAAGACCAGCCATGATGTGGTACCCTCTCCTGGGCATGCCCCTGACATGATACCTCCTTATCACTCAGTGAGGTCACAGGTGAGGCCTCCACACTGGCTCCCTCCCCATCTCGCCAGCAATGTCTTAGGATGGGCAAACGATCACAGCCTTTTGTTTTCAGGACAGGGTCTCACTGTGTAGTCTAGGCTAGCCTCAAACTTATAATTCTCAACCTTTCTGTGATGAGAGAATTGGAATGTGAAACTTCACCCAGCCCACCCCAGCCCTTTTTAGCTTACCACCTGCCATGCCCAGTGGTAAGCATGCTTGAGGAGGAATGACCATATTAGCCTCCATAATTGATAACCACGTTTCAGGCTGACTGCAGCTAGAGATCTGCCTGAATCGGATGCCATGAAGGCTGGTGCTTTCTCATCCACTACAGTGGGGAGACCTGGAACAGTGCAGGTCATGGACCTTGCAGGGCCTTTCCCAGAGGAGTAGCTCTGCCTTCTCAGGAGCAGGACCAGAGGAGGAGGAAAAGGGTCAAAGCCTGTGAAATTCAGCTAAGGATAAAGCAATGCTGCAAAGGATCAGTAGGAAATTCTGGTCAGGAAAGGGCCAACTTGTAGCTGCCAGGTAGCCAAGCCATATTGTGCTTATAAAATTTGTAAATAAAAAATTTAAAGAAAATAACAGGCAGCTGGGTGTGGTGGCCCACACCTTTAAACCCAGCACTCAGGAGACAAGAGGCAGGCAGGTCTCTGTGAGTTTGAGACCAGCCTGGTCTATAGAGTTCCAGGACAGCTAGGGATGTTACAAAGAAAAAGCCTGTCTTGAAAAAAAAAACAAAACAGGGCTGGAGAGATGGCTCAGAGGTTAAGAGCACTGGCTGCTCTTCCAGAGGTCCTGCATTCAATTCCCAGCAACCACATGGTGGCTCATAACCATCTACAGTGAGATCTGGTGTTCTCTTCTGGTGCACAGGCAGAATGCTGTATAAATAATAATTTAAAAAACAAAACAGAAGAACAGGCTTCATTATTACATTTTTCATTCATGTCATTGTGCTTTGCTCATATTTGCCCCTTCCCAAGGTCCCTCCTGTTGGCCCCCTTACTCCCCAAAAAATAAAATCTCCAGCTTCTGGCATGCACACGTTGGTAAATATAAATCCACAGGAGGAAAATGTAACATTGTCTTTCTCCCCACAACCCACCCACACTGCTGTCTCTTGCTGGGAATTTCACATATGTTTTAACACTGAGACCCAAGTACAACCTGTTTTAGTCAGGATGGATGACGAGACACTGCAGCAACAAACACCCCTCAGATGGCAGTGTCCTGGCAAAAACACATGGTTCTGGTAAGCTTCATCTTCACTTTTGGGTTACTCCCAGGGACCCGGAGAGAACTGTCACCAAGCCACCAGACACTGTGTCAGAGGGAAAACGTGTGGCAATGCTGATTAAAAGCCTGGCCTGTATAGACATACCCTTTTGTTCCTATCTCTGTGGCCAAAACCAGTCACACAACTTCACTGGCCTAGAGCAAGCCAGAAGATGTAATCCTGCCATACACCCCACCATTCCTGTAACTCAGACAGAAACACCAGCTCAGCCATAACTCTGGTGGAGAGCCTTGCCTGTTAACTCATCTAACCCCGGCCCTCAAGTGCAATCATATCTGCACAGGTTGGGAAACCAGGCAGAGATGTTAGGAAATTTACCCAAAGGCCCACAGGGACTGGGACAGAGCCAGGTCTCTGGTTTGGGCCCCTACACCCTCATGACGTGAGCCCAACACAAGGCTGGGGAGACATGCCATTAGACTCCAGGTTTGACTTACTTCCCCTGAACCACAAGGCGGGAGAGGAGGCCTCAGCCTCCCATGTTAGCAGACTCTCTCTCCACAAAGCAACCCTTCTCACCCAGGGTCTACCTAGTCAGGACAATTAACATTGAAAAATGGTGCCAGGTGCTAAGAAAGATTCATGACAGTAACGAACTCACTTGTCCTGAGGTCAGGGGCAGGCAGGGGGCTGCCCCAGGTCACTGCTTTCTGTGTCCAAAAATGCTGCCTTAGGGACAAGATAGGGCAGTTGCCCAGAGTTGTCTACCAACCCAAGAGGACGTGTGGAATTGGCCAGCTTCTCACCTTCCTGCCTTGAATAAAAGCTGTCAGACCCACATGCCCAGCCACATGCTGGTTCAAGATGCTTAGTGCCCACCTCTGCCTGGTGTCCTGCCTATACCAACACCCACCCTCAGGAGCTCTACCATAAAGGACAAAGTGATGTAATGTGTGAGAGTGAAGGTGACAATTTCTAGAATAGTATGCCTGAACCCTGGCATTTCCATGTAGGTGGCAGATATGGTGCTGTCCCTACTTGGGGGAAATAAATCCATTCTTGGGACACACATACAAACACACAAATATCTCCCCCCCCCTTTTTTTTCCTACTGATGGACAAAGGGTATTAAAATGGGGGTTGGAGGGCAAGGGGCAAACTGGCTGCTGTTTCAGAGGACCTGGGTTTACTTTAACCTCAAGTTGGCAGCTCAGAACCATCTGCAACTACGGTTCCATGGGATCCAATGCCTCTTCTAGCCTCCTCGAGCACCAGGCATGCAAATGGTGCAGAGACATGCATACAAACCACCCAGACACATCATTTTTTCAAAATGTAGTAGAGGCTGTGGCTATAGCTCAGTTTACAGAGAACCTGCACACACAAGGACCTGGGTTTGATCTCAGCACTTCTTAATCTGGGATGTGATAGAACATACATATATTCTCAGCAGATAATATAGAGGCAGCAGGATCAGAAATTCAAGGTCACCTTTGGCTACATAGAGAATTTTAGGCCACCGTGGTTAAGTAAGACCCACTCTAAAAACGATCAAACTTGGGTCAGCAAGATGGCCTAGTGGGTAAAGATACTTGCTGCCAAGTCAGATGACCTAAGACGATCCCCAGAACCCACAAGTAGAAGAATGGGACCAATGCTTTGTTGGTAGCCTTCAGACCTCTACACCTATGTACACACACAATATATATAAACGTTAAAACATAACTAAAATGTCATAGGCAAATTCTGGAGGAAAGTTGTAAAGGGATTTAGAGAGAAGAAGCAACAAGAAAAACTTCCGTTAACCACAGATAAACATTTCTAAATGGTTAGAGTGGGGCTGGGCACAGGCAACACGTTAAATCCATAGCCCTGTGTAAAACACTGAAACTCCAATCTCTGCAGACACTAATGCTCTTTCATGCTACTTTTACCTCCACTTCACGTGGGACACTTTCTAATCTGGTCTCACAGTATTTGAAGGGTTTGTATTTAATTTTTACTCCAAACCCAAATACCGCTGCTTTGGCTGAATTACTGCTTTCCCCTGAGAAGTTCTTGGGAGAAGAATGGCAGATGTGTCTTACAAGTTGCTTCTGCTATGCCCACATCAAAGAGGCTTCTCCCAGCTATAAGACTCGAGTCCATCAGGGCAGGCAGCAGGTGTTACTCAGCTCTCACAGGCCACCACCTGCTCCCCTCCACTGTCTCGGGCCCAGATCTACATGCCCAGCTGTAGCTCCAGATGGCAGCAAGGCCAGTAGAAAGCACACCATTACTCCAGCCAAGAGGAACGAAACCTGAGCGCTAAGGTTCTCCTATTTGATGAAATCACTTCTTTCCTCTCCAGAGGGTGCCAGAGAGGGACCAGTGCAGCCCCCTATACAGCACACCAGATAGCTTGGAGAGCTGTGGGGCTCACAGATACGTGGATACTTAGAAAGAGGGTGCCTCTCCTGAAATCTGGCCCCACAGATGGAGCCATTAAGAACACACTGGCCTAGATACCAAATTCTATGAGCCTCCTCCGGGAACACACAGGAGGGCAGAGAAAATAAATGAGATTAAAATTACCAGCCATTTCCCATGAGGGGACTGCCTTTTGTCTCTAGAAGTCTTGCTTCTCCATAATCCTGCTTCCAAGAAGATCATGTTGCCAATTCCAAAGCCCATACACTCTCCAAGGCCCAGCTTGCCTGCTCACTCTCTCTCCCTGAATTAAAATTTTATATTTATTTCTATCTTTGGGGCTGCGAGCACATGTGTGACAATTTGAATGTGGAAACCAGAGATCAACTTACAGATACTGGTCTCTCCTTTCACCATGTGGGTCCCAGCGACTGCACTGTGGTCTTCAGGCTTGGTGGCAGGCAGTTACCCACTGAGCCACCTTGCTGGCCCC